GCCGCCGCCCGGGCGCCTTCGGGACGGCCCCGGCTCCGGGCAGCGGGGCGTCCGGCCCGGCCCGGCCCTGCTCACCTGCGCTCTTCCGCTGTCCCCCGGCCTGTCTGCCGGTGGAGCGGGTGTCGGCTTAGGCGGTTGCTTGCGTGTTTCTCCTTTTGCTGATTTTCCCTCTCTCCGTGCCCCGTTCCAAGAAACGCTTCCATCCCGACGCTGCAGGGTACGTAACGTTTCCTTACGGTAGCCAGGGTGACACGAGCGTTTTGTCCGGCTGTCCCTTTTGTGTCAGCTGCCTTTCTGTTGGCTGGAGGAGGAGAGGTTTAGTTTGCAGCACTTGAAACTAAAAGTATTTTCTGGTATTTTTTAATGTATGCATATATTTTAGTAGACCATAATAAGAAACCTTAGGAAAATACTTGGGTTTATATTTTTAAATTGGCTTTCATATTCATGGGGCTAGGGATTGTGTCTTAGTGGATTCCTGATACAACCTCCTTTGGGTTGTTTAGTCCCACTGCTGAGACCACAGGCGAGAACGTAAATATGTTGGTAAATATGCCCAACGTAGACCTAGACTGAGGAGAGGGGGTTGAGTACCCTCAGAGCAGCCAGACGTAAACTGTACGTAACGTGAGTTTAGACAGTAAAATTCATTGCTCTTGGTCTCAATATGAGACCACCAAATGCGCGTGGTTCTGTGCATGATTGTGTTAGTGAGTAAAAGTAACTTACACTAGTGATTGAAAGTAATACCTTCACTTTGGAAAAGCCATGTATCATACCTGTGCTTCATGGCGTAAGCCCATCCGACTATTACAGGTCAAAGTTATTTCTTATGCAAAAAGAAATAATTTTTAATTAACTTAGGGTTCTCTCATGTTACTCTGAAATTTTTAGTATTAAAGTCAGGAACAGGAATGCTCGAGCAGAAGTTCTGAGTATAGAAGTTTCCACATTTTAGTATTCTCACTCAAATCAGATGTGGCTACCTTGCACTTCCTTTCTGTCATGAGAAAAATCCCCAAAGCATACCACGTTATATTTTAACTACAATGTCTTTCTTCTGACTCTTGTAGGTTTCAGATCAGAAGCCACTAGGTTGTTGGTCGGTTAAACATGGGCAGATTATCACATGTCCAGTTGTATGCAACTTTGAAACTCATGAATATATAGCTGTTCACGATGACAAGGTGAGATCCTTTATCTTTTCCTAAAGGAAAAAAAGGGTGTAGTGAGTCTTCTGAGTGAATGTAGATAGGGAAGAAATCGGCGGTGCTAGATTTCTGGCTAAATGTAGACGCACGGAGCTCTCGGCACCCTCGTGCAGTTCAGGTCGTCTCTGCTCTTTGAGAGGACAGGGATGTGCAGTTCTACGGCTGCACAGTGTGTTCTTTTCTTAGTGACATGAAGACCGTCTGTGCTGAGCACCAGTTATGTAGTGGCCTTTTAAAAACTGAAGCGTTCTCAGTGAAGAACACCTCATGCATACCTTCTCTAAGGATAAGTTAATTCTCTTGTTGCAGGCTGGTTGACATTTAGAACTGCATGATTATTGTACTGAAATGGTTAAAATAGTTCATACCTGCATCCTTATTTTTCTGCTCATATTTTACAGTTAAATGTTTCCTGTTTGTGTACGTGTAGCGTTTGCTCAGCACGTGCTGCACCTTTGGCTTTTTTTTATTGTTGTTGATGAAATATCTTTCCTGACCTTTTATGGTTCTCCTTGAAACGTTCTCTTCCAGATCAGGTCATCTGTATCTTAATCTGTCTCCATCGCTTTAATCTACTTTCATTTAGAATTCAGCTGTATCTTTTTCCTTAATCTTACTCTTTCCTGTCCTTTCTTTCCAATTCAAGATTTCTGAGCTTGGTTTGTATTCCTGTTGTCTCTGCTTCAGCTTCTTCCCATGCAAACTTCCCCATAGTCATTCTCCACTAAGGTTACCGTGAATACTTCCTCTGTCTTTTCCTCCTGTGTCTCAGTGACGTGCAATTGCTAGTATTCTGTGTGATGAGAAGCCTATATATTACCATTTTACTGTGCTTAAAAAAATGATACTTCTCTTAAAGGTTTTAAGAATATGGAAGAACAAAGATATTAACTTGGACAAAGTTTTTAAAGCAACGGTAAGTCTCTTACATGCGTTCACTTTTATGTTAATGTTTTGAATCCTGGTGGAGGGAAGAGATGCTAGTTTGCATAGTACTAGTAATATTACATTTTAGTTGACCATTGTCTTAACTTGCATTTCACGATGTTCTGGAATATTGCAAGGAATCCACTCGGACTGAGAGACTTGATCATCAGAGTATTACTCTTAAAATGATTCGTATCCCAAGTCCAAAGTTTCAGAGGACTTCCTTTAAAGATGGTGAATTATGTTCAAATACAGATTTTTCTGTTCTGCTGGTGGATGTGTTAACACTTTGTGTTATGCTGTATACCAGTTGTTTGAACTCCTTACCCTCAATTTTGTTTTTTCTGATGTGATTCAGAAATGTGATGCTCATTGGGACGCTTTCCTGGCTTTTTGTTGGGTAGTGATTTGCGTTACCCATAGCATTTCAGAAAATCGGCAGCTACTAGGCCTACATTATTAGGAATCTTACAGGTTCATCATTCTTCTATGACTTGTTTATTGAAAGAAGTTAAAAAAAATCACGGATAAAACACTTGGCTTTCAAGGTAATGTACTGGAGAACATAGAAAATGTTTTTTCTATATAGCTTTCAGCAGATGTATACAGAATACATTCACTATCCAATGGAGGGCCAGTGGTACTATTCAAAGGAGGTGGCGTTCGAACTTTAGATGTCCTTTTGGAAGCTCCACAACAAGAAATTGAAAACATTATCTCAGACGAAGTCATCAAGTAAGTGATACAATTTTATG